CAGCTACTGCGACGCCGCCTTCGCTCTGGAGCAGATTTCCAAGGTGCATTTCAGACTCTTCTCTCCTCCCACTCTCTTCCCTCCTCTTCCTCTCTGGGATAGCCCCGCCAAACATTTCCATTTCCATTTCCATTCTCATTCTCATTCTCTCATTCTCTCATTCTCTCATTCTCTCTCTCTCTCTCTCTCTCTCTCTCTCTCTCTCTCTCTCTCTCTCTCTCTCTCTCTCTCTCTCTCTCTCTCTCTCTCTCTCTCTCTCTCTCTCTCTCTCTCACACACACACACACACACACCACACACACACACACCCCTCTCGCTCTCTCTCCAGGAAAAGCAGCAGACAAGCGGGGATTGAAAAATTCAAACCCTCCCTCCGATCCTGGAAGGAAAGGGCTGTCTAAGGTCCGCAGGGGGTGGAGGGTGGAGGGTGGAGAGTGTGTGCGTGCGTGTGTGTGTGTGTGTGTGTGTGTGTACACGCGCCCTCTCCCCGGCTTGCCTTTTCCGGAGAACTGGAAAGCGGTCCACTGGACCACCTCGAGGGCGGCCTCAGCGTGGCACTGCCCGGAGCCCCCTCCTCCCGCGCCCCTGCCCCTATTTGCAGCCCAAACCCCTGTAATGCTGCCACATTTCTTAACATCTTGGAGGGGGAGGCGGAGTACTGAGAGGCGGAGAGAAGTAGGGGGGGAGGGAGCCAAAATAAAGGTGGTTTCCTATTTTGGCAGCCAGTTTTGCTTTTGTTGAGCACGAAATCTCTGCTCCCTTAAAAATTATCCCCGGAAAAGGGCATCTCCCTTCTCCTTTTCCAGTTTTTGAGCCAGCTCTTCCTAGAGCCTAAGGGGAAAAGGAAAGTTGTAAACAAATTGCCACCTTAAATCCGCGGTCCGGGTCTGTGGAGTGGCCGGGTTCATTGTGTTTACGAGGCTTGCTGAAATGTGTGGAATCTGGAGAAGGCGAGCACCCAGACGGGGGCCTGCCAAGGCCGCGGCCAGCGCCGGGAAAACGCCGCCGCCGGGAGCAGCCAGCGCCCAGCCGGGACCCCCGCCTGCGCCGGCCTGGGCCC